CGTTTATCCCAACAAAGGTCACACTGAAGTAGAAAGCTTTTCTGTTCTATTTGACCAATTAAATGCAAGATCTAATCATCACCGAGTTGTTGCTTCGTGCTTTGGCCTTTCTACTGGTTCGTCACACAATTGTTTGTTAATTATTTACCTGGTTTCAGTGATCTCACAAACGAACTTCCCTTGTTTCTGTTTCAGTCGTTAATCCAGAAGTTTCATCTTTAAACTTTTATTTCAGAACTACCTTACATGGTTTCCTTATCTTTAGCTGGAAACAGATTATTTTCCTTTATACGTGGTGATGATACGCCGGCTGGATACCCATAAAAGAGTTGCTCCCAAAATAATATGAATTTTAAAATTCGACTCCGTATACTAGAGTGCTCTTCCATGCTACAAATTTGCGGTCCATTTCTTATTTCACGAGCTTTTACAAGTGTGTTTCTTGTGGCTTTTTCTACAAGCTGTCGGCTGATTCGCACTATCAATTGAATGTTGAGGAATCCTCAGGGGGATTTGTATCACTATTCATCTATCTTTTTGGAGAACCTGATACTCAGCATCTATAGGTTGCAGATGTTACCGGATGTTGAAGACGAAGGTGCTAGAGGAACAGAAAATTTCATTCATACTGGAAAACTTTCATGCTTATTGGAATTTGCCACATTTTTGCAGACGTTTCTTAGAAGAACCAATTCAGGCAGCTGTCTCCGGCGATTACCAGGTTTTCTGCGGAGATCGACGGCTAATCACCGAGGACTATTCCACCAGTGAAATAAAGACTTTATTGGGAAACATCAGCTGAACCGTTTCGGACTACTGGAAGAAAAGCAAAACTTTCCTATGCGTCTTGTTTACAAAGACTGAATATCCGTCTTCTTCTCGAACGCGTCTTCCTGAAATTTTCCTGGATACTCGTTGTCTATCACTTAAACGTAAACGAATGCTACAAAGCGACTCCACAAGTCCCGCAATAAATCTCACTTCTAACTGGACGCGAAACGGATTTATGAGAAAACCACATACTACTGGCATGCCTCCTCAGCCGTATCCACCATCACACCAGTAGTAAAGATGGCTTAATCACTCTGGCTTGAGCCGGATCACAGGATTTACTGGTTACACCCATGGATCAGCGGACATGTGGTCCAGAGTTAACAGCCCAAAGCACTAAATTGAAGTGGACACACGATGCTACTTAACGAGTCCAAACTGGGATGATAACTGACGTGTAGCTGAGCTTTTCACTAAAATTATCTGAACTGATAGAACAGGACATGACTTGACGAATAACTCCCACAGTAAAAGTCGCTTTAAGCCATCGCACTACAGTGAAACCTTCGTTTCACTTCCTGTTTCATTCGGTCGCGACTTTTGTCACCGATCAAACAGTTCTCCATGAAGTGACGTCAACCGGTTTTCGAAACACCCAGCGCCACTGTTGTTATTTTTCTCTTCATCACTTATAGCGAGCGACAGGAACAAACTGACAGCCATCCCTGACCTAAGTTTCTCGAGGCACCTTGTTTTTTGTTTTCCTAAGTTTGAAGACAAACAAAGTTGGAATCATGAACAATGCCAAACGTTACAAAGTTGTCGCTGTTCAACCACAGTTTGTCAGTTACAAACAAAGGTAAAAATAATCGGAAACTGTTTTGTCACGCAAGCGCATTCCTTTGGGCTTAACAATTGTTGACTCAAATTATCTAGCCCGTTTTTAGCTTCCAGTTTTTCTTCTGTCCTTGAAACGACCGGGCAACTGGATATGAGTACTTCGGTCCTTAAAGCCTTTTTTCGTCCATTCTCCATAGAACCTCCAAGCTTCTAGAAAGCCACATTTCATCAGATGTTTGAGCTAAACTAAAAAAGAAAATGATAGTTGCCTCGAGTACTGGCATATATCTTACTAGGAAACTAGCTATTGTCGGGTTTTTTCGCGAGCACAACTCATTAGACATAGTATAAGTCGGTGGTTTTTAACTTGCCTTCAAACTTTGGCGCGTCTCAAGGCCTTAGTTACATGAGGACTTATTAGTGCTATTGTTTTTACTCGAACTAATATCCGAAGGTGACTAACACTAATAGGAAACAAGTTATGTACAGTGGCTACCAGAGACACTGTAGTACAATCGAATGGTACACAAAAAAGAAGGGGACTTATCGAGTTCTTTGGTTGGTAAGTTGTAGTGAACGATGTTGGGATTTGTTGGATGCAGTTGCATTGAATGGGGGTCTTGACCGAGCGTGTTGAAATCTGACCTGTTTCTTGTCGTTTATTCCAAACGACATCGAGCCCAGACTTTTCCCGCACAGTGAGTTGTGCGTAGCATTCAGCTGCCGCAGGTCAAGGCGCTGTGTGAAGTGACGAGCGTCAGCGTCCTGCTGTCATTGTTCCGCATATATATAAGCTTACGTTGTATGAGAGGATGCGTTTGCATTGTTTGCCTTTTGATAAGTTTCAGCTAATCTCGGCTAGTCGGAGAGCGAAAGTTCGTGACATAATCAAAACGGGAGTGAAATGGTGGGTGTGTATGTGCTAAACAAAGTATACGAGTGATTGAGGGTAAACACTGATGAGGTAGAAACCGAACTCAGTGAAAGTGGTTGAAGATAAACATTGACGAGATGGTACCCTACAGACTAACCAAGATACTCAAATATACCGGCCAATACTCACGCAAAGGGACAAGGAGAACGAAACACGGAAGGCGTTGACTCTGGAAACTATCAGTGTTCAGTTGATTCGATCAGACACTAGGGAGAGTAAACCTTCTTATCAGAAAAGAACAAATTTCCTTTGCTGAAGGATGATACTGAGCACCTTCAACATTTGTTGAAACCACCGTTTCGCTGGAAGTAATTCACATAAACGGGATAGCTTCTTCATATATATCAGGCAAACATAACGTAGGAAAAAACAGTTCAAAAGATTGTGGAAAGCAGGTGACCCTGCTCAAGCATAAAATTGAATAATACATCGTTATTTCTTCACGTTTTACTGTGTTTCATTAGGCCAAGGATGAGTGCTTTGGTTGCCACCGGTCACTTGAAAAAATTGTACACATCCCTCCTTTAAGGAAGGAATACCTCACCATCTTCAGCTCTAGAACTGCGTACATGGTGTTCAGTGATTACATTTGCCGCGGTTTCGCTCACCGATGACGTACGGAAATAGAGGTGAGTAGCTACTAGCGAGGGACAGCAGCTGATACAAATGAAGTCTAAAACCGGAAGTGACTAAATACTTTTGAAGGGTGAGGAGGGAATACTGTGGGTTGAAATTAGCAGCTTGAATGCATGAGCGCGCGACTGGGACTTATCTGCTAACTTTCTAGCTATCGGTGTGTGTTCTCTCCGATTCCCCATCTAGACGGACAACAATAAGCAACGCAGTTGAGTTCGCCAGTAACAGCTTTTGTACTACCACGGGCGCATATCCATTATCCGCCTTGTTGTGTAGATGACCTCTTCGCGGAGGTCAATCGACTGACGTGAGAAGCAGTGACCAGACCAGCACAAAATACGAAGTGTGATCAACTCATCAATCGTAGGAACTGCTGATCCGATGCTCCTAGAGGTCTCAAGGAATGCTCCATAGACGTTGACTGTCAAGCACATCAATACCTTCAACTAACAGCGGCTCGGTTCCCGAATCATATCAATCACTGCAGTATTGTAAACGCAACCACTGACAGATGAGCAATTGTCACACCCGCTCCACAGTTGATAATGGTTGGTAAAGCCGCAATGGTCTTCTCAGTTCAGATGGAAATGTCCTATGCGGCTAGACCACTGACACACATACAGCTACACAGGCAATAGAAAGCATGTGTACTACATCACTCGGTTCATCTGAAAACAACAAGTACGAGCCTACGCGGTCTTGCAGAAACACTATAGTTTTCAAATATAAAACGTATGTCAAGCCGTCAGGCAGAATTATTAAGGTTGTTCAATATCGTCTGTATTACCATGGTATCAGATCTAAGAACTATTTCATCTGTGTAGCCCATATCTGTGAGCAAAGGCCATGCGAACATTTCAACCCCACAGGTATTAGCGACTGTCGGTCAGTCTTTCATCATCATACCAATGACATATTCTAAGGCAAAACGGAAAAGAAAACAGCCTCGCCTGACACTACTGAAAGTAGGAGTTTTAGGCGATAGTGCTCCGTCGAATTTATTGCATCCTCGGAAGTTAGTGTACAGTGCTTTAAAAAAGACAAAAGAATTTTGGGAAATACGTTTGCTCCATAGGTACTGTCGTGGTGCCTGAAAATCTCCAGAGTTAAAGGTATACTTCAAGTGAGTAAGGACAACCAAATATAAGAACCATCGTTTTGTGACGGTATGAATTTCTCAGAATTTAGCAAAACTGATGATTCTGATCCAGTAGCCCTTTGATCGTAACAGAACAGTCAGGTAGCGCGAACATAGCTCCTTTTACAATTCGCCATACTTCAGCCACGTGCTCCTTACAGTGTTGGTTTACAGTTCACAGTATCTGAGCCAGCTCAGATAACTAGCTATCGCATTTCCCCGAAGATGGAGAGCTGACACCATTGTTGCTAACTTGCGAGGGTCCGAAAGAAATCGAATCGTCAAACATACTCACACTACGGCGTGATTAAGATCTGACTGTGCCCCGAAAGGAACGTCATTCCTGAATTGTGATACTCTATGGATGGTCCCAATGTAGCCTACGGCTGGTTTGCGCTTGGGGCCGCCAGTGATCCACTTATTTTAGAAAATCTTGCTGAACGGAAACAGCTGACGATCAGTACGCAAAGGGAGGAGTTGTTCTCCAAATCGACCGTCTAGAGGGGATTTCATGGAGCTCAGACTGCCTACTGGGGCACACATATCACCTGCTGGAATGTGAATGCTAGTGCTTGTTGCCTAGCGGATGACCCCAAATAAACCATCAGTGCTCAATTTTGTTCATCAGATAAGATCAGCAATCCAATCTATCTGACACTGCGTCATAGTTGCAGTCTTCCCATGACCCCGTCCCGGCATTATCCCTTCCTGGCTCCTGGTTTTTCCCACCAGTATGTTCCGAAGACTTTGGCTGTTTTCGCCGAATTGCAAGAGAAAATTACTGACATGGATGAGGAGGCTCGGGACTTACATCAGATAAGACAATTTGTGAGACAGAGATATGAGGCTAATTGGAAGTTCTGTCCCTCTGGCCTTGAATGGGGGTGCAACAACTCTCCCTATAACTCAGACAAGGATGACAACAGGTTAGACTGCTGTAGCATGGGGTACGCCGCGATTACTAACGATGGGGAAGTTGCCTCACCAGAGGGAAATCGTCGGTCAGTCTGCAGTTCGTTGGACAGCAAAGCTTCACCAGATGATAACGGTGCTCATTCGCATTGCAGTTCGTTTGTGCGGTCGTCTGGCGCCACAAACTTAGACACATGAGGTTCGTCATATGGCTTTGCTTAAATTTGTGTCAATAGTACTGTAGATTTGTAGACCCGATTCTTCTTTTTGACATTCGGGATCGTCGAACCTGCGCGTCACCCCAAGTTCAGTTTCGTAGGCTTCAACAGTGTTCTCCTTAGTGTCAGAACTGCAGTCTGTTGTTATATTTGCTGACATTACAAAGAGGCAACGGTTTTTGTGCTGACTAGCAGTGAGCCTCATTCAGCTGGAAAACCGAGCAGTGCCATGCTGACTTCACAAGATGCCAATTCAACCAAACGCGTTCAGCTCTGGGGCTGGATTCGATCCCCACGCCATATATTCTACGAGCCAGAGATTCTGGATCCCCTGACATGGAGACAGAAAATCGAAGGAGACGATTTCGTCCTTAGAGCTTTGAGATGCATGACTACGCTTGAATCTTGAGTGGGTGTTTCAGAATCGCAGTATAAATCAACTTAAGAAAACTGCAAGGTCTGGGCCAACACTGCGGACCCACCAATTCGACATAGATTTAGGATGGTGAAAGTTTCAATGCAGAAAGTACTTCGTAGATTATGATTGTTTTTCTTTTATTTTCTCTGGGTAACTGAGTAAATAAGGCACATCAGTCAAACTGACAATCATTTGATCCAGCGACGCTTTTGTAGGGTGAGAAAGGTTTTGGGAGGAACAATGGTGGGCAAAGAACTGTGCTGACAAATGATCCCCGTTTGTACGGACCGAGGAGAGACGTTTTAGTAAGGTATCCCCATTGGGTATTTGCCCAAAAGCCTGACCTACAGTGCAGCAGGGGGAATAGGCCTTTCTCTTGAACCCTTTCCCTTTCCTATAACTCACAAGCCTAACCTACAAGTCGGCGGGAAGTAAGGAGGCTCAACCCGGGGTCCGTGACTAAATCGTTCAACTCATTTGGTAGAATGGGGTTGGGCCAGCAAGAGGGCACAGGGAATTAAGTATGAGCTTCTCACTCTTAATGACACCGGGTAGGGGAAGCACGGTGTTTTTGGCAGAAAGGACCGACGCTGTTAGGATTCATTGAATCAGAGGTTTATTTTCAAAACATGCTGTGACAGACTCATTAAAACCCCACGGCCGTCTGACTGACAACAAGTGTGAGACTGAAACCCACAGATTTAGATTGAGCAAGGATCAGAATGCTAGATATTTTGGGTAAGTTCCGATAAAATGCAAACGCAACATAACAGATCATGTTAAGAACTGAAAAGCTAAAACAGTAAGTTCAAAGTTAACGGAGTACGTTTTGACCTCAGCGTTCAGATGAAGTAGGGCGCGATAGATTAGAGGAAACGACTTCCGCTACTAATTAAAGGATTATTTCCCTGCTGTGGCCACACGAAAGCATTCTACCCTCATTATAATCTCTCAGCATGGCCTGCAGTGGACGTCTTTTTAAGGGAGTCAAGTCATCCCACTGAAATGCTCCCAAATAGCCCACTATCTTGTATCCAAGCCATTGCCTTCTCCGTGACGAGGGTGTCAACCACAGTGAAATAACAGTGTCAAAGATTCACTGGTTACTCATCTACTGGATCGGGTTAAACCCAGATTTCAAACAGAGGCCCGCACGTCAAATTGGTTTCGATAGACTGGACAGATGAAGTCAACCCCTGACCGGAGTTACCAGTCTTGACCGGTATATCTGCCCATGCTACAGCCTGGGTTTTCGCACCTTGTCGTTCAAAGACTGGAAGTTCAGCCTAAAAAAACAGATTTCATATCCCATAACAAATCTTCATGACGTGTCTCTTACTAGCCGTCCTCCCGACGCTATGGCGCTTCTGGTAATCGACGGGCTTTCGGCTGTCCCGTGGATTTGGGTGACCAGAAAGCAAGCTGGGGAGCCCAGCCTTGAGAGACTCGTTCATGTTGGAATGTGAACAGCATCTTTGGTGTCTAGAACGAAACCCTTAAAATACTTGACGCGCACGGTTATGTACGCGTGCGAACTGGTGTTTGTCTGAAATCCCAGTGCCTGGATGCAGTTCCGTCGAGCTGAATTCCTTTAAAAAAACAGCTGTTTTTGGCTCTATCGGAGTGGTCCACAGGACAGTTCTAATCAATATACTGTGGCCTTTGGGATTATTGATTGAGTTCAGGATGAGCCAGTAGCGATCAAACAGATTATCTTACTAGTACTCTTCAAAAGATCACCATCCAACATCGCTGTCTTAGCCGTCTAAGGGGGATGGCCCAAGAGTATGTTCTCCAATAGTGGGCGCTCCTAAGAGAGCAGTACATAAGCCTAATCGTTCATCAGGAGAGTTAACCAAGGTGATTTTGAACTACTTACTTGTGGGCCCCTTGTTCCTTGCTGAAAACTTAGTATCATACACTCAAGTATAGCGTTTTACGTCTGTATAGAATAAATTACATCGTATCAGCTTCTTTTTGGACCATTTTTAAGCTCAATACAACTGCCTCTCTTACCCATTGTTCTGAGTGACACTCACTGGAAATTTTTGCTGACAAGAACCATGAATGTGGAGAGAGGACCACAAAATTGGCAGCTGACACCTTACACTTCTTTACTGAAATTGGTGAGGTTAAGCGAATTTTCATCATAAATTGGACAAAAACCATAATCCTTTTGAAACGTTTTCATGTTGTTCTCATAGGAAGGGTAGTAGCCAGAACAAACGTGGTAAGCACATGAAGAAGTCGACTAAACGTGCTCCATCTAGAGAGATGTCACTCAAGACTTGCCTGCTGAAGACATAAATTAATATACATCTAAACTTTGGTTTGCTCTGTGCTCCACCCTGAAAGCACAGTCTGATTAAAAGGAAAAAGAATAGCTTGTACTTTATCAATATATCCCACGACTGAGTTTGAGGTTATGCACCCCGGTCTGACACAAAATGCTTCCAAGAATATGGCTTCGAACTGCCCATCAAGTTTCATTGGTTATCGTATATTACGGACAAGATCGCTGCTTGCTTCTGTAATATGGGTTAGACAGCAAGACTGCCTGAGAACTGTGGCTTTCTCGACCGTGCCATTTTCAACCTGCGTTATCCCAGTTTTATAAACACAGGATTAATAGTAGTCCTTTTTTCGAGCGATAAAGAAGTTTTTATGGCTCATAAAGCAGTTTGACCTGCCCGCATTTTGCTGTTCACACCCTTTCCGATTCACCTCGCAAGTGCTTTCTGGTTCTCATCGCCAAGTTCTTCGCTGAACCATTGACTGGAATGAGGTGCATATTCAGGAAAGCTTCATTCAAAACATCTTTGATTTTCCAAGCTAACTGAAAGTGAGAATTTATACAACCAATCTATCCACTAGCTGTTAGTCCATATACTAATAACTGATATTCATTTTCTGACGCTAGTACCTGCGCGCTGAAATTTCATCGGAAAAAAGTTTGTGTAGCCCATCTGACAGAATAGTTTTACAGGTGCGGTGAGGATCTCCAGCTGGGTCAAACGCCCAGCGTTGACGTGCTGCAAACTCACCACTCCAGAAGCAACCAAAACCTATATGACATTTTATCGATAATCGTATAACTAGTGAAGATGAACCAAGGTGAACTGTCCCGAATCACTTCTGTAATCACATTTGCTTGAAGTGTTATGATCGCGAACGGTGGACGGAAGTTCATGTCTCTCATTTTTTATGGTTGAGAAGGGTGGTAGACAATTAATTTTCTACGGAAAATTATTTGAAAGTTGCATTTTACTTCGAATTAAGTCATTTGAATTTTCGGGCTCTAATCAACTTGAACAGAAGCACTCAACCAAATTCTGAGTAAACAGAGGAAAAGGAACATGCAAACAACTTAGGTTTGGCTTTCATATGTTTATGCCGCTTGTGTCAATAGGCTCAGCGTTTATAAGTAGTGTCCGACTTTCCCACTCACATGGCGCGTGGATAACATTTCCACTCGATTCAAGTGCTTCAGGTATGTCCTCCAAACACAATGACAGTCTGGTTGCTTTGCAACCGAATACAAACTGCTCTTATGCTTTCAGTTGTTCAGCCAGCAACCTAAGTGAAGATGCCGTTCTGAGAAGACCCAACACAGTTCACTATGCTGAATCATTACGTTTTGACATTTAATGTCGGAAAAAAAGCTAAACTGACTATCGAATGTAATGTGGACAAATGAAATACAAATGTCGATGTTTAATTAGGACATATCCATTATATACAAGAGGACCGGGGGAAGGGATGTAGCCTATAAAACAAAGCTCCTGCGTGTGAAAATCAATTAATGAAAAGCCTTTTTTCATTTGCGTGCGACAACAGAGTGGTTTGTCTGATTGCGCTAAGCGATTCAGTGGTCCGTGAAACGCAGAAAAACCCTGTAGAAGGGTTTTGTAATGAGGTTTCGTTTGAGAGTCACTATTCTGAGAAACAGCAGTGGGTGAGTAAAATGAACCACGCAATAATACTATTATTATTATCATCATTACTTTGATTTTCATGAATATTTTGGGTGAAAACTCGAGGAACTTTAGGAAAAGTTGACCTTATCTTCCTGATTGATTTGCAAGGCTGGTGATGATCCATCAAGGCTTCATGTGCAGCATCAAACGATTGCATACATTCTGGCTATTTTGCTTTCTGAATAAAGATCCGGTATGAAACCATTTTAAAGCGACTCAGTCATCTGTGTCAGAGTACTCTACACAGTTAAAAACACGCAAGCAGATACACATGGCGCCCACTTGTTGGTGGAATTGCCCCTTCTTTGAGGTTTCTGACGCCAATTCTTAACGCCATTGACTATGTTCTATTGTATATGTTCGTGCAAAGTCCACTTCCGTCAAAGAACGACATACGATTCGACTGTGTCAACTACTGATGTGGTTTCTATGCTGATGTTAGAATGCATTGGTTTATACCTGAGGAATGCTGTTGCAGACGTTTTCCTTGGTTGACTTATAGCCTATTACGTAAAGTGACTGTAACGAAACACCAGCATTAACCGACCATTCTACCATAACTATATCACTCCTAGCTTTTCATGG